GTATTTTTCCATGTATCATCTTTATTATATAAAAAGAATAATATCATTGAGTCTGCCCAAGTTATTAAGGCTTTCTTAGTATCTATTTTGCAATCTAAGTCTAATTTTGTTCCTCCATGGTTAACAGGTTTATCATAATTATTATTTAATTCAAATCTATTACTATATTTATTTCCTTTGGACGGTTGTTTATCTCTTATTTTATCATAAAATTGCCTATATGGTTTATTATACATTGGAGCATAGCTCTCATCTGGATCTATTGATTCTTGTTTAGAGGTTCCTACAGGATTAGGTCCTCCTCCAGTATTCATTAAGATTTGGTATTCATCATCTATACTTTCTAGACTTAAATGATCAAAATTATCTATAAGTAGATCTAATTCTTCATTCATCTTCTTTGTCCTGATTTTCTTCAATTTTTTGTTTACCTAATATTTTTTCTCTAGATTCTTCTTCTTCTATTATTTTAGGTAATATATTTTTCTGAACTCATCATCCATGCTTCCTGTTTCTATTATTATATTTTTCCTTTCAATATGTTTTTTCCCTATTCTGGTTATTTCTTTTTCTATAAATTTTTTATCTACTCTATTATTTTTTTCTTCATTTTCTTTTAATTTCCTGACTTCAAGTTTCAATATATTTATATCATTTCTAGCTTCTTTTATTTCATTCTTAATTTCTTGTACATCATTAATTAAAGTTCTTATTAAATGCTTTAATTCTTCCATATGTTCATTGATGTCATTTTATCTATTTTTTGATTGACAATAATAAAATACTACACACTCAGCATTTTTACACTCTTTTATCATTTTATCATACTTTTGTTTTATAATTTCAATACTTGTCAATTCTTTTAATTTTTCATAATATCTTGCTTTTTCTTTATATCTTTCTTGTTTTAATTTTAATATCTGTTTTTCTTGAGTTTTAGTTATTTCTCCAGGTATTAATAATTCATCTAAAATTTTATTATTTATTAATCTTATTCTTTCTAACTTTCTATCTAAAATAT